CTCCCTCCCTCCCTCCCTCCCTCCCTCCCTCCCTCCCTCCCTCCCTCCCTCCTTCCTTCCTTCCTTCCTTCCTTCCTTCCTTCCTTCCTTCCTTCCTTCCTTCTCCAGGATATATATATGCAGAGTGTACAGGTTTGTTACACAGGTATATATGGTCCATGGTGGTTTGCTTCACCTATCAACCAAACATCAAGGTTTTAAGCTCCACATACATTAGGTATTTGTCCTAATGCTCTCCTTCCCCTCGACTCCACCCCTCAAAAAGCCTTGGTATGTTGTTTCCCTCCCTGTGTCCATGTGTTCTCATTGCTCAACTCCCACTTATGAGTGAGAACGTAGAGTGTTTGGTTTTCTGTTCCTATGTTAGTTTGCTAAGGATGACGGCTTCCAGCTTCATCCATGTCCCTGCAAAGGACATGATTTCATTCTTTTTTATGACTGCATAGTATTCCATGGTATATATATACCATATTTTCTTTATTCAGTCTATCATTGATGGGCATTTGGGTTGGTTTCATGTCTTTGCTATTGTGAACAGTGCTGCAGTAAACATATGTGTGCATGTGTCTTTATAGTAGGATGATTTATAATCCTTTGGGTATACACCTAGTAATGGGATTGCTGGGTCAAATGGTATTTCTGGTGCTAGACCCTTGAGGAATCACCACACTATCTTCCAAAATGGTTGAACTAATTTACAATCTCACTAACTGTGTAAGAGCATTCCTATTTCTCCACAGCCTCATCAGCATCTACTGTTTCTTGACTTTTTAATAATCGCCGTCCTGACTGGCATGAAACGGTTATCTTATTGTGGTTTTGATTTTCATTTCTCTAACGATCAGGGATGATGACCTTTCTTTCATGTTTGTTGACACATCAATGTCTTCTTTGGAGAAGTGTCTGCTCATATCCTTTGCCCACTTTTTGATGGGTTGTTTGTTTTTTTCTTGTAAATTTGTTTAGGTTCTTTGCAGATTCTGGATGTTAGACCTTTGTCAGATGAGTAGATTGCAAAAATTTTCTCCCCTTCTGTTGGTTGCCTGTTCACTCTGATGATAGTGTTTGTTTGTTTGTTTTCTGCTGTGCAGAAGCTCTTTAGTTCAGTTAGATTCCATTTGTCCGTTTGGCTTTTGTTGCAATTGCTTTCTGTGTTTGTCAGGAAGTCTTTGCCCGGGCTTGTGTGCTGAATGATATTGCCTAGGTTTTCTTCTAGGGTTTTTATGGTTTGGGGTTTTACATTTAAGTCTTTAATCTATCTTGAGTTCCATGACCTTTTTGGCTTTAGTGGGTACGAGGGGTTACTGTGTTCTGTGAGAAAGCACTTGGCCAGTGTGTGCGCAATAGCTACCGGGTCACTGGCAAAGGAAGCAATTTAGAGGCATCTGAGAGCAGCTGCAGTAAATGGTTGTTACTGCAGGGGGCTCTTCATTTATTTGTGCATTTGGGGGGGGAGCACAATTTAAACACTTTGAGGCTGTGGAAACACTTGCCTTCAAGGGTGATAAGACTCCCATTGGAGATAGGCTGATCAGAGAGTGAGCTGATGGATGTTGGGTCACCCACTAGCATCAGGGAAATACCTTTTGAGATGCACCATGGAAGCATTGCATGGTCCGTATGTGGAGCCTGATTTGAAGAACTTAGATATTTTTGAGATAATCAAGGAATTTGGAATATAGACTGGGTATTGGATAATATTGGGGAATAGTTGCTAATTTTTTAAGGGTAAAAAACGGTATTGTGATGTAAAAATTTATTTTGTAGTATTTACAAGTAAAAGAGTATGATATGTGGGTATTTCTTTAAAATATTTCAGCTTATTGAAAAAGTAGGGGAGGTGAATGAAACAAGATTGGCAAAATATCATTGATTACCAAAGAAGGCTGTACATTGGCATTCATTACTATTATTTTTACGTGTTTGAAAAGTTCTATAGTAAATATTATTTTATAAATCTTGGGCCGGGTGCGGTGGCTCACGTCTGTAATCCCAGCACTTTGGGAGGCCAAGGCGGGTGGATCACGAGGTCAAGAGATCGAGACCTTCCTGGTCAACATGGTGAAACCCCGTCTCTACTAAAAATACAAAAAATTAGCTAGGCATGGTGGTGCGTGCCTATAATCCCAACTACTCAGGAGGCTGAGGCAGGAGAATTGCCTGAACCCAGGAGGCGGAGGTTGCAGTGAGCCGAGACTGCGCCATTGCACTCCAGCCTGGGTAACAAGAGCGAAACTCCATCTCAAAAAAAAAAAAAAAAAAAAAAAAAAAAAAAATCTTACAGATTTTCCCAAGTGATGTGGGGTAATATCTGTCCTTCATTGGAAAATTATGCAGTACATAGACTCTAGATGGCACCTCTTGTATTACTGGATTCTCATTCCATCAAAGCTATTTTACAATTCTATGATCAGTGGATAACTGATAGCAATGGCAAATAATTCTTGTCTGAGAACCTGCTAATTCTGTCCTGCCTGGAGTTTTGATTGACCTCTCTCCCTTACTGTGAAAGAAGTTAGTTTTGCCTCCATTTGCACATTCCTTTCAACATCCTTTACTCCATGTAAATATGTGTGTTTTTTTCACTTCTTTGAACTTGCGATAACATCTGCTTACTTTCCTTCTTCCCAGTTGAATAATATCTTTAATACATGTTCATTTTTATGTATGTATACGCATCATAATTTTACATTTTTTTGAAAATGTCGTCTTTTAACAGTGACAAATATTGGTCTTTTCTGTGAAGCTGAAAGTAAAATAAATTGGTATACTTTTGAATTATTATGTTAATACATGACTAAATGTTAAATAATTTCAGAGTAAATTGTGAGGCAGCTACCAAGTCAACTAACTTCCTTTCAGTTTTGTTTCTATTTCCTCCTATTATTAGTTCCAGGGACCCCTATGTAATCTTTCAACCAGAGACCTGGATGCATTTTCGGTAAGCACGAGAGCTCACCAGAGTAAAATATGGGCATAGAACATTTGAAAACACGTCAAAACAAAAATTAAGTAACATCTTTTGAAAACTTACGCCAAGAATTCTAAAATTTTTGTATTAATCTAAGATAACGTTGTTGAAAGACAGAGGAATGATCTGTGTAAATTACTCCCAAAGTAATTAAGTTTTCGTGTAAAATTTTCACCTTATATGTCTGCCCCATCAATTCTTCAACTTTTTCTCTCCTCCCTTAATGGTGAAATCTTTTCTACCACTGGCCTAACCACTGAGATTGGCATTGCTTCCCACTTGAGTTACAGATGTCCTCCTCTCCCACTGCCACCTCTCGGGTATTTAGGAGCCACCTCTCACTGCCATCTGGGCTCCATGTTGGCTTCCTTTCCACTGAGTTTAATGGCAATCAATCAAACAATCAATACTGTTGATTTCTTGGAAGAGTTTCACAGATGCAGAAATAATAGATTTATCAGCTCTAAAAAGGGATACTACAGTGAAGGAAAGCAGAAATATGCCACTGCACAATATACTCCTCTGGTTTATTTTGAGATGGCTATTCAGAGGAGCTGTCAGCACAAGAATAGCCCTGAAATCCTAGGCAGTGTGGGTAGTGTTCCTCTGTGTTCTCACAGCACGGTCCGTCTCCACATTTGTTTTGTACACTTGTCACACTGACTTGTAAACCTTTATTCCAATAGCTTCTGTCTCACTCTGAATATAAGCCAAAGCTAGGGATCTTCTAACCCATGTATAGTTGCTTTCTGATTGGATTGGGATGATTTATTTTAATGCTTCCCATCTTCCTTAGAATAGAAGCCAAAGCCCACAGCCCTCTAATCCCAGATACTCCTGGGCCAGCTCGCTCACCTCATTCAGGTGTTTATTCCAGCGTCACTGTAGGTGTTGACCACGTTTTGGCTTTGCTTCCCCATAGCATTGACTGCCGTCTCTTACATCATATTATTTACTGATTTATCTTGTTGGTCATCCATTCTCTCCCCCAAAAGAATGAAAATTCCTTGAAAGCAAGAGTTGTGTCTGTTGTGATTACAGGAGTGCCCTCAGGACCTGGAACAGGGTCTGGACACGGTAACCACAAAATCACTCTTAATGAATGAAATGGCAGCCCCTTTCTCCACCCTCTGAGCTTCTTAAAAGCAAAGATTTGGTTTAATTAGTTTTTTCCCAAGTCTAGTATTTACCTGGAGCATAGTATGCATTTAATAAGAAATGGGGGTGGGTGTGGTGGCTCACACCTGTAATCCCAGCACTTTGGGAAGTCGAGGCGGGCAGATCACCTGAGGTCGGGAGTTCAAGATCAGCCTAACAAACATGGAGAAACCCTGTCTCTTAAAAAAAAAAAAAAAAAAGTTGATTAAAGAAAAAAAAAAGAAATGGTTTCATGGATTCTCTCTTGGGAAGACAAGTCAATTCTAGGCTAGTTCCAATATGTAGAAATCAAGAAAAGGACAATAGAACAGCTTTTCAAGTTCTCACATGGTTTCCCTGCTTCGCCTTCATTCTCGTAGACACAATCATATAAGGGCTTTGGACTGTCCTTTTTAGCATTAGACATGCTTAAAGTTTAGTGGTGGTGGAGTGTACCAGAGTAAGTTTATCTTGTTAAAAATATTTGGAGGCCAGTCATGTTGGCTCAGGCCTGTAATCCCAACACTTTGGGAGGCCCAGGCAGGAGGATCACTTGAGCCCAGGAGTTAGAGGCTGCTGTGAGCCTTGATCAGACTGCTGCACTCCAGCCTGGGCGACAGTGAGACTCTGTCTCTAAATTAGTAAATAATAAACTAAGAAAATATATAAATATAAATATTGGTGGGGGAGGGGACAGGGCACGTGCCAGTCATTTATTTGTGTCAGTAACAGAGGGGCTGGTGCCAGAATCTGAGAAGTTTTCCCAGATCGGGAGGAGGGGAGGAGCGGTGAGGCTGCTAAGGAGGCGTTGTGGAATGCGTGTTTTAGAACGCAGGCTGTAAACTAGTTCGAGATGGGCAGGGGAAGGGGCGGGTCATCAGTCTGGAAAAGGATGGAAGGAGACGGGAGAGGGCTCAGTAGTGCGTCTGCCAGGGGCAATTAAAAAGTCGTTCTAAGGCTCTTTTCAGCTCCAAGATCGCAAGAAGGAAGAAAGGATGGAAGGAAGAGAGAGGGAGGAAGGAAAAAGAAAAACAAGATTCTCTAGCAGATGGTAGAAAACATCCCAGCTAACTTTGACATCGTGCCCTCGGTGTTGAACACCAGTGGCTTCCCTCGCTGGGAAAAGGCGAGGGTTCCTAGCTAAAGCTGTAAACAGGTGGTTTGCATCCGTGGGGACACTATGTGGTTTCCTTTAAGAGGAAGCTCTGACCGCCGCGGGCCGGGTGCGCGAGGCCCGAGGCCGCCCTGCCAGGCTGGAGGGTGGTTGTGCGCCGGGCAGCGGCCGCGGAGGCGGGGCCGGGGGTGGCGCGGGGCGCGCGCTTTTCCCGGGCGCCTGGGTAGCTGCGGCCGCAGCGGCGGCGGGCATGGCAGAGGCGCGGTCCCGGCCCTCGGCGGGGCAGCAGCTCAACGCGCTGCCAGACCACTCGCCGCTGCTGCAGCCCGGCCTGGCGGAGCTGCGGCGCCGGGCCCGGGAAGCTGGCGTCCCGCTCGCGCCGCTGCAGCTCACCGACTCCTTCCTGCTGCGGTTCCTGCGCGCCCGGGATTTCGATCTGGACCTGGCCTGGCGGGTAAGCGTGAGTGCTCCGGGCGCTTAGCAGCGCGCACCCCGGTCCCCAACCCCAAGACCCGGATCCCGGACCCCTGCTGAAGCCCAAGGTGCAGGCAGGACCCTGGCGAGGACCATGCCCCCAACCACCTGGCGTGGGAGCTGTGGCTGCAGGTGTTCCGAGAATCCAGCGCTGGTCCTTCCAGTTTCTCTGGGTCATGGAAACGAGAAACCTAGAAAGTGTAGGAGCCTTGGGATAATGGCCCTTTTGATCTCAGGCATGGGAACTCCTGCCCCAGATGAGTCTCCTGAACCTGCAAAGTTTAGAGGTAATGCCTACCTCTCCCTGGAGGGAAGCCTGTGGTACAAAGTAACAGCTTAGAAGTTGGAAGCTCAGGCTTATCACATGTGACCAGATTTACTCTTTTTGGCGGGGAACATGAAATTGCTGGTAAAACTGGAGTTCTGAAGCCATCTGGTAGCAGCATGGTATTATTAATAGCAATACTTAAGTGTCAAGACAGTAAAGCAACCCAGTATATTTGGAGTCCGGGGTGTAGTTGCGGAAGTTCCTTTGTGTTTCCAGGTACGTTACAGCCCTTTGAAAGAAAGGATGATGGAAAGATAGGAATCAGAAAGAGGGGTGAGACCTTGAGTTCTAAAGCTTTAGGTTCAGCGCCCTTATCTGTTAAATAAAGATAGAAATACCTGCCTCACCGATTGGTTGGGAAGACTGAACATTAACCAGTTTAACAAAACAAGCCGTACCCAGCGCAGTGCCTGGCACATAGTAAGCATTCAGCAGTTGGACCAGATCTAGCCCTTTCTCTAAGTGGCTTGCTCAGTGGTCACACAGCTGCCTGGCAGGAAAGATACTACAGTACAGAATTCCAGTGTGTCTCAATGTGAAGTTTTTGAGGGTTTCCCTTGTTTGTTTGTTTTAGAGTGAAAGCAAGTTTACTAAGAACATAAAGAAACAAAAGAATGGCTACTCCGTAGAGGCAGAGCAGCCTGAGGTTGTTTTTAACTTAAGTAAAATTATGGTTAAGATAATCTAGATAACAACAAGATCCTTAGATGTGCAAAGTCATTTTCTAACAGTAACTTTCTTTTATCTTTTATTGTTTGTTTGTTTTTGAGACGGAGTTTCCCTCTTGTTGCCCAGGCTGGAGTGCTGGGGCTAGATCTCCGCTCACTGCAACCTCCAGCTCCCAACCTCCAGCTCCCGGGTTCAAGTGCTTCTCCTGCCTCAGCCTCCTAAGTAGCTGAGATGACAGGCATGCACCACCACGCCTGGCTAACTTTTGTGTATTTTTAGTAGAGACGGGGCTTCACCATGTTGATCAAGCTGATCTCAAACTCCAGACCTCGTGATCTACCCTCCTTGGCCTCCTGAATTGCTGGGATTACAGGCGTGAGCCACTGTTCCCGGCCTCTAACAGTAACTTTCTAAGAGAAAAAAGCTCCCTACCCCAAACCTTAGTTCGTTAATTACATGCTCAGAGGCTGCTTACTGTTACTCATTTCTTGTTTATCTTTTTAGACAGGCTGTGCTTGCACAAGAATGTTTGTGTGTGATCTCTATTTTGCCTTTCTTACCTGTCTTTGGACTGAGAGCATTCCATATCAACTGGCATCCATCTATCTTACTCTTTATTGGGCTGCTGTTATTCTACTGGACGAATATATTAGGCTATATTAAAATTTATCTAACCTGATACTGGACTTAGGTCTTACCGCTGTTCATACCTTCATTCAACAATTATTTTTTGGACTCTACAATTTGCCTAGTCGTACACAAGATGCAGTCAACAAGGTGGCAGTGGTTTCTTCCCTCACTGACTGGGCGTTCTTCATATCCTCATACTTTGTGCATAACTAGGAATATAACCTTCTAGGATAAATTCAACTGGTGAAATTGCTGGATGAAGTTAGATGTGTATTTTTCAGTGTTGAGGAATATAACAAACTGTTATCCAAAGAGTTTTCAGTGTCTTCCAAAGGTTGCAGTAGCTCAGGCCTGCAATCCTAGCACTTTGGGAGGCTGACGAGGGCAGATCGAATGAGCTCAGGAGTTCATGATCAGCTTGCGCAATGTAGTGAAACCTCATCTCTACAAAAAATACAAAAATTAGCCAGGTGTGGTGGCACATGCATGTAATCTCAGCTACTTGGGAGGCTGAGATGAGAGAATCGCTTGAACCCAGGAGGCGGAGATTTAAGAGCCTCTGCTCTCAGATACACTGCAATTGTGCGTGACAGTGATTTGTGCCTCTTTACAGAAGTAATTTTTTCAAGCGGGTGGATCCAGTTGGTTTATTCATACTTTAATTTATTCTTTCATTCAACACGTGTTATCTCCTGGGTGTGCAGCACTCTGCAATAAGTAACTTGTCTGAAATTATGTAGCTATTAAGTGTTGAAGCAGGGGTTTCAGCTTGGGTGGGGCTCAGGAGAGAGCCTGTGCTCTCAAATACACTGCACTTGCCTCTTCTGTTTAAAACAACAAACATAAAAAACAGCTAAGTATTTACTTCTCTGTCTGAGATTGTGCCACTCACTGCATGCCAGCCTGAGCAACAGAGTGAGGCCCTATCTCAAAATATATATATATGTGTGTGTGTGTATATATATATACATATATATATATGTGTGTGTGTGTGTGTGTGTATATATGTGTGTGTATATATATGTGTGTATATGTGTGTGTATATATGTGTATATATATGTGTGTATATATATGTGTATATATATATCTATCACTCATCATTCTGATATGACATGATCTTGCCTTTTCCTCCATAACCCACACTGTATTATCAAATGTGATTTGCATTTTAACCTGCTAGAAGAGAAATAGTTTTCACTGTTATTATAATATGTATTTGTTTAATTATGTGTGATTAATAATTTTATATACACTTAATATTTCAAAATTCCTTTACAGTTAACTGAAAATCACCTTTTTTTTTGCTTTTGTGAGTTTTTATGTTTTACTGAGTTATAAAAGATTTTTATGCATTTTAGGCCTTTTTATATATTTTAGACCTTTGTCCTTGATTTTTGTCTGTGTTATATTATTTATACTATTTTTTCTGTGCAGAATTTTAAATTTTAATATAATCAAATATGTTAATTTTATTAGTCTTTGATTGCCTCTGGGTTTTACAAGCTCTTCTCTTATCCAGAATTTTTTCTAGTTGTTTATGCCTTCTCTTTTTTATGTTGGAGTCTTTGGTCTATTGAGATTTGTTTTTACGTTAGGAGTGAAATAAGAATCCAGCTTTGGGCCGGGTGTGGTGGCTCACGCCTATAATCCCAGCACTTTGGGAGGCCGAGGAGGGTGGATCACGAGGTCAAGAGATGGAGACCATCCTGGTCAACAAGGTGAAACCCCGTCTCTACTACATATACAAAAATTAGCTGGGCATGGTGGCGCGCTCCTGTAGTCCCAGCTACTCGGGAGGCTGACACAGGAGAATTGCCTGAACCCAGAAGGCGGAGGTTGCGGTGAGCCGAGATCGCGCCATTACACTCCAGCCTGGGTAACAAGAGCGAAACTCCGTCTCAAAAAAAAAAAAAAAAAAAAAAAGAATCCCGCTTTATTTATTATGTTACATGGCTATATATGTATTCCAATATCACAAGTAATAAACTAATATGTACTTAGTAACTACTGAATATAAAAATACAATCTCAGGTCCTATGAAGAATGAAGTTTAAGTGAAGCAATTAACAATAAAACGTGTTTCATTTACTGATTTCATTTTAACTGCTTTAAGAAAGTAACATCTGGCCGGGGGTGGTGGCTCACGCCTGTAATCCCAGCACTTTGGGAGGCCAAGGAGGGCAGATCACCTGAGGTTGGGAGTTCGAGCCCGGCCTGACCAACATGGAGAAACCCTATCTCTACCAAAAATACAAAAGTAGCCAGGCATGGTGCCACATGCCTGTAATCCCAGCTTCTTGGGAGGCTGAGAGGGGAGAATCGCTTGAACCAGGGAGGTGGAGGTTGCAGTGAGCTGAGATCGTCCCATTGCACTCCAGCCTGGGCAACAAGAGTGAAACTCCATCTCAATAAATAAATAACATCTAAATAGAAAAATAAAAATTTCCCTCAGCCTCTGTGACATATATATTTTTTTCTGTATTCCTTAAATAAGGAATCGTTTTCATTGCACCATGCCCTTGAGGAATTGACTAGCAGGACTGTGTCTAAATCCACTGGATAGAAATCAAGTTTCTGTCTCTGAACTCTTTGTCTTGTTTTCCTGCCAACTGGAAAGGAAACGGAAAGGGTAAGAGTGTAAAACTGTTGTTTTCGTTCTCTGCAACAGCACTTAATTCAACTCTAACTTCTCTTTTCATAATAGGGAAGCCCTACAGGTTTTGAACAAAGAAAGCTTGATAACTGCCTCAGTCACAGTGAAATTTCTCATTATTCTAGTTTTTGTATTTGAAGTTATAGTGAATTAATAAGGTTTTATCATATAATTCTAATAGATAATGTGCTTATAGAATGCAAGGTACTTTGGTAAGTAGGGTTTCCATGGATTATCTTTTATTATTTTCTCATTTTAGAAGAAACAGATAAAAGAGTAGGTAACTTGTCTGAAATTATGTTGCTATTAAATGCTGAAGCAGGGGTTTGAGCTTGGGTGGGGCTCAGGAGAGAGCCTGTGTTCTCAAATACACTGCACTTGCCTCTCCTGTTTAAAACAACGTAAAAAACAGCTAAGCATTTACTTTTCTGTCTGTTCTACATATTCCCTTGAATTCCTTCTATCAAGTGATAGCCCAGTTCCTTATACTTTTGTACTATGTGATAAGCTTTTCTTTTTTTCTTTTTCTTTATTTTTTTTGAGACGGAGTTTCGCTATTGTTACCCAGGCTGAAGTGCAATGGCGCGATCTCGGCTCACCTCAACCTCCGCCTCCTGGGTTCAGGCAATTCTCCTGCCTCAGCCTCCTGAGTAGCTGGGATTACAGGCACGCGCCACCATGCCCAGCTAATTTTTTGTATTTTTAGTAGAGATGGAGTTTCACCATGTTGACCAGGATGGTCTCGATTTCTTGACCTCGTGATCCATCTGCCTTGGCCTCCCACAGTGCTGGGATTACAGGCTTGAGCCACCGCGCCCGGCCGTAATAAGCTTTTCATCCTTTAATTATCTTTACGGTTTTCCCAAAGCTTTCGAAATTCCATAGATTCTCCCTGCTAATTTCTCTCTAAATGCGGCTTCTGTTGTAAAATTGATCATATCATGTGTCCATTTTACTTTTTACTCTGCTCCTGATAGTTACAGCTCTTGAACAAATGTGTAATTTCTCCGAGCTTTACTTTTCTTGTCCTTATAATGCCACAGTAGCTCTTTCTCAGGGTGGTTGTGAGGAGGAATTCAAATAACATTAGACCCTATAAAGGTGCTACAAATATGGTGTTTCTTGTTTTGTTTCAAAGTACATGAAACATGTAAGAAGAAACCTACTCTATTTCAAAACATAGTTAACCCATAACATGTTAAATGTTTATTTACTTCTAATGTTTGCAAAGCAGACACCTTCCATAGTGAATACTTACTTTTCGCCACTTTTTTATTGTTGTGGACATAGGATGGTTTGCTTGAGAATTGCTCAGTAGCAGTTTATTTGCATAATTTATTTAGAACAATTGTACTGTGAATCTATCTATCAGTGGAAAGAAAAGTAATGGCCAAAGATCCAGGTTTAGGTCTTTCAGTTTGCAAAAATTGTGCATGATAGTGATTTGTACCTCTTTACAGAAGTCATTTTTTCAAGTGTGTGGATCTAGTTGGTTTTTTCATGCCTCAATTTATTCTTTAATTCAACACATGCTGTCATCTCCTGGATGTGCACCATGCTGCAGAGATGAATAAGCTGAGCATCCTGCCCCTGTTACCTAAATGATCCCTTCTAATGAAGCCACTACTTCTATCATTCCACAGGAAAAAAAAAAGATTATTTCTATATAGTTAATAATATGCTGCTACCAGCATTTTACTTGAATTGGAATAAAAAAGACATCGTGTCTGAGGAAACTATCAGAAAAGTAAAAAGCATTGTACGATACTATTAACAGTTATTCTGGTACCCCTAAGACTGGAGGAAGAAGATAAATTCACCTTAGAGAGTGCAGTGAAGATATTGGGATCCACAATGTGCCTGTTGTTCTCACTGCTTTTGAAAACTGCTATTTAGGTCACCAATTATTTCTTTGTTGGCAAATTGACTTTTTTCTTTCTTCTCTCTTGCATTTAACTCTTAGCAACATTCTCTCTTTTTTAAAATTAAGAAAGGTTTACTAAATACAGGAATGAAAGAGAGGGAGACAGAGAGAGAAAGAGAGGGAGATAAATCAGAAATGGAGGTGAGAGGGAGCAGAGCAGCACGGATGGCACCACCCTCCCTCCCGTGTACTAGTTAGTGCTGGTTCTCTTGAGGTCCACTCAGTTTCTCTCTTCCTCCAGCCATTCCCAGCCATTGACATTTTCCAAGGCTCAGCATTTCCCTCTCTAGTTTGTGTCGTTTGTAGTTTCTCCTCCAGATCATTGCTATTTTTGAGGTTTTAGTTACTTTGTTTATTCCAAAGACTCTCAAATATAAAATCTGTCCTTTTCTCTGCACTGCAGTCTCCCATTGTTAATAGGTCTCTTTAAACTCAAATCAAATATATTGTAACTTGTGAAAAATTGAGAGTGCCAAACATCATAAAAAGGAAAATTAAAATAGAAACATAATACTTTTAAAATACATAATTTGCTTTACTATTTTCCACAATATGCTGACAGTGTTTATATTATTTGCATATGTGATTAGCCATTTCTGGTGGTTCTTTTGGAAGGAAAGAAAGTAGAACTCTTTCAAACCATATTTTGACAAGATCCAATATCCAAATGTTGCTCCTGGGCTCTTTTGACTCATTGGATTGATTTCTATACTTCCTTATTTCAAAAAATGCTAAAGGTGATGTTTCCGTTCTCTATTGCTGAGTGACAAGTTACTCCAAGAATTAGTGGCCTAAAACACAATGATTTATTTGTTTTTGAATCATCAGTTTAGGCAGGGCTCAGTGGGAGTGGTTCATCTCTGTTTCACATGGCATTAGATGGGAACTTGGCTGAGGTCACACCATCGAGGATGGCCTCTTAAACTCCAGGCCTCTCTCCACATGAATTGCTATTATTCAGTAATCTCCCTGGATAGTGTCTGGATCCCAAACAGTAAATTCAGAAGGTACCAGACTTTATAAAGCTTGGTCCACCCAGTGTTACTTCTGCTACATGGTATTAAATCAAAGCAAGTTGGAAGGCCAGGGTAAATTCAAAGGGAGGGAAGCAAATAGATGCCACCTCTTAATAGAAAGAACGGTGCATGTATATCAGGAGGGGAGGGATTGGTGGCTGTCTTTGTAGAGCATCTACCACAGGTGGTGGATGAAAATGGCTCATCTCTGAAATTGTGATTAACCCCTGCCACCTCCGATCCTTGATAAAGGGAACTTTCAGTTTTCACAGCTAAAAAGATACCCCAGATTAAACTCGACATAATGTACGTCAGAGTTTATACACAATGTCAAAGCTTTCCTACCATTTTTACAAAGTCCTTACCATGTAAGCAATCTGTGGACAATTTTAATTTTATTTTTCAGTTACTAAAAAACTATTATAAGTGGAGAGCAGAATGTCCAGAAATAAGTGCTGATCTACACCCCAGAAGTATTATTGGCCTTCTAAAGGCTGGCTACCATGGAGTCCTGAGATCCAGGGATCCTACCGGCAGCAAAGTTCTTATTTACAGAATCGGTAAGTCATACACAGCTCCCCTTTTTTTCTCATCTCTTCCACTTCAGTTCTATTCTCTCCTCTTCCCTCTTTCTTCCATTTTTTCCCTTGAATACCACATAGAAAGCTTTAATATGTTCATCTTTAGGAATTTGGGATTTAATTTAAAATTTTAGGTTTTAACTTAGGTTTAATTTGTGTCTTAATGTCCCTGAAATATAATAATACTTTGGCAGTTGTGAGAAAATAAACAGATATAAGTGAAAATCCTAATTTCATTCTTCCACACAGTCAACTGTACAAGATAAGAAGAAAGGAAAATAGCGAAGATAAATAGTATGTGAATATTTAAAAAAATCATGAAAAAGTGTTTCAAAAATTCTTTGTAGGAAGTACAAATAAGATTTCTGAACTCTTGGCCGGGCATGGTGGCTCACGCCTTTAGTCTCAGTACTTTGGGAGGTTGAAGAGTGGCTCACCTCACGTCGGGAGTTCAAGACCAGCCTGGCCAACATGGTGAAAGCCCATCTCTACTAAAAATACAAAAATTAGCTGGGCCTAGTGGTGCATGCCTGTATCTCAGCTACTAGGGAGGCTGAGGCAGGAGAATCATGTGAACCTGGGAGGCGGAGGTTGCAGTGAGCCGAGATTGCACCTTTACTCCAGCCTGGGCAAAAGAGCAAGAGTCCGTCTCAAACAAAAAAAAAAGAAAAAAAAAAGAAAAAAGAAAAAAAAAAGAATCTGGACTATAATGATGTAAACACCATGAGATTGTGGATTTTATCTGTTCAGTTTACTGGTGTATTGCAAGCACTGAAAACATGGCCTGCTACTTGGTAGTCACTAAATATTTGTGGAATGAGTGAGTGAATGACTAGTTCGAAAATGCCCCAGGTCGAGGAGCAAGCTCATTCCCTTGAGTGGAGGAGGGTGCAGAGGAAAGGCAACTACCCTGGGAGCTGTTGCAGACACTGTATTCCATTAACTCCTGTTTCTTCTCACTGCATCTTCTTTTTATCTATTAGGGGTTTCTAGTATTTCTTGTAGATTGATGTCTTGGTCTATTCAGGCCATTATAACAAAATGCCATAGACTGGGTGGCTTATAAAAGCAGAAGTTTTTTTCTCACAGTTCTGGAGGCTGGGAAGTCCAAGATTAAGGCAATGGCAGATTAGGTGTCTATTGAGGGCCTGCTACCTGGTTCCTACGTGACATCTCTCACTTTAACCTCACAGGTTGGAAGGGAAAAGGGCTCTCTCTTGGGACTCATAAGGGCACTAATCCCATTCATGAGGGTTCCATCCTTATGACCTGATAATCTTGTGAAGGCCCCACCTCTTGCTACCATAGCTTTGGGAGTTAGAATTTCAGCATATGACTGTTGAGGGGATGCAAACACTCAGACCATAGCAGTTGGTGACCTATAACTTCTGCCTTCCTCAGACCTGCATGTGATTAAAAATGGCAGGCACAGAAGAAGAATTCACACTGCTCCCAGAATCTCTCATGGCCCAGTTGGAAGGACAAAGATAAACCAACATTTTATGCACAGAATTTTTGAATTACAATCTTATAGAAACATCGACATCTTTAAAGATTTAAAATATTTATAAGTTTGCATTTCTTGCCTGTTTATAGATAAAATACCTGCCTATAACTCATCTGCTTGCTATATTGCAAGAAGATACTGTATTTAATTTTTGAAAGGATATTGGAAGATTGAGTAAAATGATTTGGGTTTTTTCCCCCTAGCTTAAGTGTCAAATAAAATTGAGTTAATCATGAAATCCCATCTATAAAATAGACATCACTATCTTTCTGTTCTTTCATTGCTGCACCAGTGTCAGAGGAAATTGAATGAGCTCACAGCAATGAAGTTCCTTGAGCTTCTTAGGGTTAGACTTGCCAGATTTAACAAAGTACTAATGTTTTATTTAGGAAATAAACTTATATGCTATTAAAATAAAGGGTGCCCAGTTACATTTGAATTTCAGATGAACAAATAGTTTTTGTAAAGTATGCATAGGGCATTCTTATGTTAAAAATTATATCCTGGTTATCTGAAATTCAACCTTATTTGGGTGTCATATATTTTACCTGACAACTCTACTCAGGGGTCCAAGAATCATAAAACTGAAACCTTGAGCCAATTATTTCTGTAAATGTCTTGGCTTTGCACTGCCTGGCTAGATTTTATTGTTTCTAGTTTGTTCATAAACTGACTGAGCCAGGTGAAGTAATAAAAGTGACACCTTGATGGTGAGAAGCAGATGTGCAGCTTTGATTATAAATACCTTACCACTGAACCGGTAGGGGTATTTTCTGGGCCTCATGTAGTACAGTAATTTAGAAGTACATTGTTTAACTCAAGAGATCTGAAAATCCAGAAAACATGTCGTTTAGTGACAGTCTCAAACAGGAAAACATGTTGCAAATCTCCTGTATGTTATGTTATTCTGGGATGAAAAGGAGACACTCAGAAAGTTTTATGAGTAAAATGAAAACTTTTCTAAATTTAATTGAATTAATGGGAGGAGCTAAAGAAGGAAATCTGTGGTGGAGCTTTTTGGTAGAACTTTAGCATAACCATCTCTGTGCAGTAAAAGCAATGAGAAAATGCACACAGCCTTTTCCTCCATGCAGGCTGGGCAACCCAAGGTGAAGGTAAGTTTTGACCTTTATCAGCCAATAGGCTGAAGAATATAATTTTACGTCTTTTGAGATCTCCTAGTATATTACAGCAGCAAAAGTAAAATTTAAGAGTGAGTGTGAAGTTTTGACTGTGGCTTAGCACTTATGAATACTGGTTCTGGAGCATGTGGCCTGGATTGGAATCTCAGCTCTGCTACATTCTAGCTGTGTGAAACACTATGTAGCTATAACTGCATTTTCTCATCTGTAAAATGGGCATAGTGAAAAGCTATCATGTAGGATTGCTATAAGCATTAAGTCAATCAATCAGTTTGTCTATCTTAAATATAACAAGAGCATTACCTGGTACATAGAAGCACTCGGTGAATGTTAAGTAGACACTGGAGAAGGAATTAAAAATATAAAATATATTTTTCTTTTGCCTCAATGGAGCTTAAATTCTAGCCAGCACTATTCAATGGTACTTTCTATGATGATGAAACTGTTCTACAATGGCCACTAGCCTCGACTGTTGAGCACTTGAAATGTGACTACTGCATCTAAGAAACAGATTTTTTATTTTTTTTTAAAGCTAGGGTCTTTTTCTGCCACCTAGGCTAGAGCGCAGAGGCCCAATCGTAGCTCACTGCAGTCTTGAACTTCTGGGCTCAAGTGATCCTCCTGCCTTGGCTTCTGGAGTAGCTGGGACAAGAGGCATGTGCTACCATACCCAGCCAGTTTTTTTATTTTTATTTTTTAGAGATGGGGGTCTCACTATATTGCCCAAGAAGGTCTCACTCCTGGCCTCAATCAATCCTCCCACCTCAGACTCATAAAGTGTTGGAATTATAGGCATGAACCACTGCACTCAATGAAACTAAATTTTAAATTTGAATGGCCACACGTGGCTAATGGCTATCATGTTAGACAGTGTAGGTCAAACAATTATGTTGATTGGCTCAGAAATTAGGCCATTAACTATTTTTCTGATTGTCAAACTTCATTTGTTCTGCTGGTTTTTAAATCATTATAGTATTCAGCCAATGTCTGAAGTTAGTATAGTATTTTTTTATCTAGGTTATTCATGGGTTGATTATTCACATTCTTATGAGAAGTCTGAGGCTTTTTTTGTGTGTTTTGGAGGCAGTCTTGTTCTGTTGCCCAGGCTAGAGAGCAGTGGTACCATCTTGGCTCACTGCAACCTCCGCCTCCTGGGTTCAAGTGATTCTCCTGCCTCAGCTTCCTGAGTAGCTGGGACTACAGGCATGTGCCACTATGCCCAGCTACTTTTTGTATTTTTAGTAGAGATGAGGTTTCACCACGTTGGCCAGGCTGGTCTTGAACACGTGGTCTCAAGTGATCTGCCCACCTTGGCCTCCCAAAGTGCTGGGATTATAGGCGTGAGCAACCACGCCCAGCCAGAAAGCTCAAACTTTTAAAAAACAATAACACACCTTCTAAAGGATCCATTAATATGAAAGAAAATAAAAATGAAAAAAAAAATAGCAATCCCATTGTGCCTTCTTAGGAATATATCTGTTTCTTCTTTCTTTTTCTAGATCTTCAACTTTTCCCTTGCTACGACATGCTACCAGTTAACATTTAAATCTGTTAAGGGCCAGCCACCAAAAACAAAACAAAAACTCCTCCTTGGTTCCACAAAACCCTCCATCCTCCATTACATATATCTCCCCTCTCTTCTCGTTCTCAGCCAGGCTCTTTTTGTTAGTGACGACCACCATCCACATTTTCTCACAGTTCCCCCTCAGCCCACCCTGGTCTGATTTCACTCCCATCCCTGCTGAAATGAACGTAACCAACTATCTTTTCACCACATCTAATGGATATGTTTAGTCCTATTTCACCTAACCTCTTAACACAGTGAACCACTTTCCTCTTTCTCAAAAAATCCTCCTCCCTTGGCTTCTCTGATGCCATGTTCTCCTGGAGTTTCCCTCTGACATCACTGGCTGCTCCTCCTTAATCTCTTTTTTCTGGCATCTCCTCTTCTACTCATCCTTTAAACTCTGAAATCTTAAGCCATTGGCCTTAGCCTCTTTTTATGTTACTTTATCTCTCTGCTTTGATAGAGAAAATCATAGCTCTGAGACAGTCCCTGTTGTGGACTGTCATATAAGTGCAAACAACCCCTAGATTTGTATCTTCACTCCTATCTTTTCCTTGAGGATCCAGAGCCACACAACTAGCTCCTATTCTGCACCCAGTTAGATGTCTCACAGTCACCGTTTTAACATGTCCACACTTATGACCTTTTCCACCCCATACCCGTCTCTTACCTCAGTAAATGGTGAAACATGTGCACCATGGAATAGTACACAGCCATAAAACGAATGAAATTTTGTCCTTTGCAGTAACATGGATACAGCAGGAGGCTATTATCTTAAGTGAATAAAGACAGGAACAGAAAACCAAAAACCACACACTATCACTTATAAGTAGAAGCTAACCACTGGGTGTTTATGGCATAAAGATGGGAACAGTAGATACTAGAGATGACTAGAGAGGAAAGGGAGGGAGGGGTGTAAGGGTCAAAAAACTCACTGTTGGACGCTATGCTCACATACCTTGGTGGCTGGATCATTTATACCTGAAACCTCAGCATCATGCAGCATACCCAGGTAACAAACCTGCACATGCACCCCTGAATCTAAAAGCAGAAAATAAATAAATAAATGATGCTACCATTTTATCCAGTTCCCCATGCCAGAAACTTTGTTTTGTTTTGTTTTGTTTTCTGAAAATTTACTACTTAGTTATGAATCTTTTTTTTTCTTTCTCATTCATCCTGTTAGGCACTTCAATCTGAACACTTCCATGTTTTTTCAGCTTTGGAGAACTTTTCTCTATTGCTACAATTCCACTCTGCTCTGTGCTCTGTCACTGCCTTCTAGGGCTTTGATCAGTTGGATATTGAAACTCCTGGATCCGGCTGCATTTGTTTCTTAACTTTTTATTCATACGTGTCAACTCTTGGCTCTTTTGTGCCAAATTTGGGAGAATTCTTCAATGCGATCTTCCAAACCATTGTTCCCTGATTGGCTCTGTCTTTTCTTTTCTTTTTTAAATTTTTTTTAATTGCGTTTTAGGTTTTGGGGTACATGTGCAGAACATGCAAGATAGTTGCATAGGTACACACGTGGCAGTGTGATTTGCTGCTTTCCTCCCCTTCACCCTCATCTGGCATTTCTCCCCATGCTATCCCTCCCCAGCTTCCCCCGCCCCCCCCCACTGTCCCCCCTTATTCCCCCCGATAGACCCCAGTGTGTAATGCTCCCCTCCCTATGTCCATGTGTTCTCATTGTTCCTCACCCGCCTATGATTGAGAACATGCAGTATTTCATTTTCTGTTCTTGTGTCAGTTTGCTGAGAATGATGTTCTCCAGATTCATCCATGTCCCTCCAAAGACACCAACTCATTGCTGCATAATATTCCATGGTGTATATGGCTCTGTCTTTTCTAGCATTTATTCCATCAAATTTTTTGTTTTTAATTATCTTTTTTATTTCTAAGATTTCAACTGATTCTTTTTAATAATAGCCTTTTCTTATAATAATGGCCTACAGTATTCTCCCCACACCCTGCTGGAATTATGCTTCTTTAAAAAAATTCTTTAAATTATTTTTTACAGACTGGTTCTTGCTATATTGCCCTGATTGGACCCGAACACCTTGGATTCCGTGTCCCCTTGTCCCCACTTCAGCCTCCCGAGTAGCTGAGTACCACTGCTCCTGCACCTGGCTTCTATTATGTTATTTTGGTGTCTCCTGTTTTCTTATTTTCTCAAGTTGTTGCCTTTGTCTATTGAGTTTTGTTTCCCTCTCTCTGCGTATGTGTGTGTTTGATATTATAATTCTTAAGGAATAGATGTCTTTTAACAAAGATTATCTGCTTGTCAATCCATTACTGTCATTTCTGCATGGCATGACCTGTCCCAGGGATGGTGGCGAGGGGTGAGAGGAGTGGACAAGAATCTCAGTAACTCCTCTCAGCACAGGTACTCTCTGTTTTTCTTTGGTGCGGGCAGCTACCTAAATGCTTCTCTGGCTCTTCTTTCCCAGGCCCTCACTTCCTGTTCTAGCCTGCAGGGACATGGCTCTGCTATCTGCTACTTACCACTGGAAGGCTGTGGAAGAATCAACTTTCCTATCTGTTCCTCACGGATTTCCCTTAGCAATCTCTTTAGTTACTGTGGGGTCTTAATTGCTCTTTATAATCCAGGCCCTTGCTTTTCCCATTTCCAACACCTCTGAGCTTGGAGCATACACAATGGCATTCCCATCTTTATGTGAGGTTGTGACTTCATCTTGCAATCAAATTCAGCCTGCATCCAATCCTTTTTCCCCCATACTCTTAAAAAGCCGTTCTTTGCTAGGAATTTGAGGAGGGAGGGAGAAGCAGGCACATGCTCTTTCTTGGACCCCAGTTGGATTATTCAACTCATGATCTTCGTACATGTTTCTGTTCCAACTGATCTTTTAAGTCTAAAATGAATTAGCCTCCCTTTGGAAATCTGTCTGATTTTTTACACAATGCTAAGATATGATATGCTTTATTTTTTTAGCACACTGGGACCCCAAAGTTTTTACAGCTTATGATGTATTTCGAGTAAGTCTTATCACATCTGAGCTTATTGTACAGGAGGTAGAAACTCAGCGGAATGGAATCAAGGCTATCTTTGATCTGGAAGGCTGGCAGTTGTCTCATGCTTTTCAAATCACTCCATCTGTAGCCAAGAAGATTGCTGCTGTACTTACGGTAAATGTATATTTTAACTGTCAGGCATAATACTTCCAAATTACAGTTTTAAATTTTGTTATATGTTATACAAAGAGGAGCAAAAGTACATTTATTAGAAATTTAAATACAATTTTGGAAATGATATGTAGAATTCAATAATGCTAAGAGGAAGTAGAGTGTTACTAGTTTATAAAAGAAAAATGTTGCAACAAACTGCAAAAATATGTTCCAATTAGTAACAAGAAGGTTTATGCATCTTTACAATATGTGGTGACTTTATATTTTTGTCATTAAAAGCTGTTTTCCTAAATTAAAAAATTGATTTAAAAATATGTAGCAATGGCACAATAAAATGTCACATAATTCTTCGTAGGTGTATATTGACACTTTTTTCATAGATCAAAAGATTTTTAAAGTGATCATCATCTTTGACCCAGTAATTCTATTTCTGGGAAACTAGCTAAGGAATAATCTTTAATATATTAAAGATTGCATATAATAAGAATAGCTTACTATGTGCCAGGTACTTTGCTATGTGTTTCAAATGCATTAAGTTTTAATGTCCACAGTGAGCCTCTGACATATGACTATTGTATTTTCCCACTTTACAATTAATGAACTATATCCAAGAAGTGACATAGCAATGCCCAGGTACACACAGTTTGTCAGTAGTGAAGTGAGAATTCCAGCCCAGGTCACCTGAATGTAAAAGTTGTGCTTAATCACCATTCCTCCTATACATAAAGACAGTTTACTGCATCATCAATTTCAGTTAAAAAAAAAAAAAAAGAAAAGAAATGGTTTATTAGTCCAGAAAATGGAAAAATGGTTACTCAAACAATGGGACATTCATTTGACGGATTCTTGTAACAATAATAAAACATGTTATTTGCAAAAACTGTATTATATCAGTGGGACACAGCAGAATGAAAATTATTTAGACAGCATATTAACAAGTATGTTTAAAAGAAAATTATGCATAGAAAGGACCTGGAAAGACAATTCCCAAATTAATAATACATCTCTGAAAGTGATGCATGGAAACAATAAAACAACTTCACATAAAAAACCTTGAAATGAAAGGTCTCTGTGTTAATAATACAACAAATAAAATATTTCTTACAAATAATAGTAAGAAAACTATTCTTTTTCGTCAACTCTTAACTTTTTAAACTTTCTGAATAAGCCTATATTACTTTGATGCTAAAGACATATACCAGTGTCAGAGTTTATAAGTGTGTGTTTATTGTGCTAGTCTTTCAATATTTGTGGATTTTTTTTCTCAAAATAAACATTTTTGAGAAAAAATTTTAATATAAATTTCTAAATGACTCTGGTTCATTAGAACATCTGTATGTGATTGGGAAAGGATTTTCTGGTGAAAGTGTGCAGATATTTTATAAAATACTTTGCCTAATCTGTAAGGATAAACCTTTTTAGAGATCTTTTCTTAACTTAGTGATAATGAACTGTAAGCCAGGCTTTTGCGTTGATGGAATAAATAATTTTGAAAATGAAATCACACTTTAGCTACTTGGGTAAGTTTAGCAAGTGTTCAAAGAAGAGACTTGTCATTAGGTATAGGACTGTAATATTTGTGTTTTGTTATTAAGTTTTTTTTTTAATTTTCAAAAGGATTCATTTCCATTGAAAGTTCGTGGCATCCATTTGATAAATGAACCAGTAATTTTCCATGCTGTCTTTTCCATGATCAAACCATTCCTGACTGAAAAAATTAAGGAACGGGTAAGTAAAACATACTCAAGTCTGTGTTCCTCTACACCAAACATTCCGACCCTTTTTTACTTAAGGATTGTTTTATCATCTTTCCTTGTAGCTGCCCATCTATATCATTAGCCCAGTATTTTGAATATTTATCTAACAAGTCAATTACTTTTCTAAATTAAAACTTACTTTTAATTTAGAAAAATCAAGTATATTGGTTGTAAGGCTGTGGGGTGACTGGGCTTTTCATACATTGCTGGTTGGAATGCATAATGGTATATTCCCATAGAGGGCAGTGTGGCAAAGTCATCAAAATCACCATCTTGAATTACCTGTAGATAAACAAAATTACATAAACTAGAGGAGCCACTGCAGCAGAAGACTGAAAACCAGTAAGTGTTCACCATTAGGGCATTGGTTAAATAAACATCTACACAACAGAAAACAAGATTGCAGGATGTCTTGTGAACGAAAATAAACTGAAATAGACAAAATGCGGAATAGGGTTTATGGCATGCTACCTTTTGTATACAAAGGGAGAAATAAGAATATATTTCATAAATTTACATTAAAAATATATACAAAAATAATATAAGCAGGTATCTATAGGGAACAAGAGAAGAGGTATGAACTATCGTAGATGAGAATAGGTTTGGGAACAAGCTCTCTTTCTGTGTATCTTTTATCTTGCCTTGATTTGTAACCATGTGAATTTACTATTAATGTAAATAAAAATAAACATTTTTCTTAAACAGTGAAACATAATTAACACTTTCAGTGTAACTGAAAACCACAGTAACTGAGGTATGTGACTTAATGTCATGCTAGTTAGAGCAAAGACACTGGATTTTCTTTTTTAACGTACCCTATGGAGCCTTATCTTAGAAAAAACATCTCATATCTCTTAAGAGTTTTTGAAAGGCTGAAAATAGAGTGCATTCTCTTGATCTCCTGACCTCAGGTGATCCGCCTGCCTCGGCCTCCCAAAGTGCTGGGATTACAGGCATGAAGCCACTGAACCCGGCCCTAGAGTCTGCATTCTCAAGAGTGGCAAACATTCTTCTAAATTAATATGTAAAAGATAATTTTTTTTTTTGTAGGAAGGGAGGAAGGCAAGAAGGGAGGAAAGGAGGAAGGGAGGGAGGGAGGAAGAAAGGGAGGGAGGGAGAAAAGGGAAGGAAGGAAATCAGGCAATAAGAGACATTTTCGACCTGGATCTAGAGGTCTACAAGTTTATTTCTTTTTTTTCTTTTTTTTTTTTTTTTTTTTTTTTTTTTTGAGACGGAGTTTCGCTCTTGTTACCCAGGCTGGAATGCAATGGCGCGATCTCGGCTCACCGCAACCTCCGCCTCCTGAGTTCAGGCAATTCTCCTGCCTCAGCCTCCTGAGTAGCTGAGATTACAGGCACGTGCCACCATGCCCGGCTAATTTTTTGTATTTTTAGTAGAGACGGGGTTTCACCATGTTGACCAGGAGGTCTCGATCTCTTGACCTCGTGATCCACCCGCCTCGGCCTCCCAAAGTGCTGGGATTACAGGCTTGAGCCACCGCGCCCGGCCTTTTTTTTCTTTTTTTGAGAGAAGGAAAGAAAAAAAAGGAGTGAAGGAGAGGAAGAAAGAGGAAGAAAAAGAAGGAGAGAGAACAGAAATGTTGCTTTATTCTAAGAAAAATGGTTATTAATAATGGCTAATCAATATTTCATTTAAACCTATGAGTAGGTGTGATGTGGTATTGACAAGAATGTATATTTTGTGTATTTAAAGTGGAGAGCTCTATAAATATTTATTAAGTTTACTTGTTCCGGATTTGAGTTCGAGTCCTTGATATCGTGAAGGATAATTTTTTTTAGAGCATCTGTTTAGACAGACATTGGCATCATCTGATGCCTTGAACACAAAACAATTTGTAAAGGCTTTAATAATTTAAATCTAAAAAAGTATTGAAATGTCAAAGGTGATAATATGAACAGTAATAGAACATTTGGAATTTTAGAGACAACATTCTTTCTTATTAAGAAAATATAACATACCTGGTCAGAAAGTTATGACCCTCAAGCTTCTTTAGAAGTTATCCAGTGAATATTTCTGTTTGTCTTCAAGAACCTCCCTTAAATTGCCTGCTTTAGCAAAGATGGGCACTTTCAGCTACTGTTTATTCTAATATTTTTAAACAAGTCAATTTTTTTGTTTGTTTATTTTTTTCTCTCTTCAATGTAACTTGATAATAAATAGTTGACTATCCTCTGTTTAACTCCTAAAGATATAAAAATAAGTATTTCTATTTTGTGCTAAATTTTAGATAAAAACAAAACAAGAATAAACTGAACCTAACAAGTAAGAGAATATGGAGAAAAAAGAAAGAAAAGTAAAAAGGTGAGAAGTTAGGGGAAGGTCAGTGAAAGTTAGTTGACGTGAAACAGACTTGCCAAAATAGGGAGAAAAAACTGATCCAGCTACTTTTATCTTTTTCAACGTTTTGGCAATGCCCCATACATTTTCTTACTTTGCCCCTTCCTGAGGAGATAGAATTTCTTCTCAATTAGCTGATAATATTTTACATATTTCAGAAAGAATTAAAGAATGGCTTTCTGAGTTTCCTAAGTGAGTATAGGAAACTCACTTCATCCATCAAGCCTCATATGCTAGTACACAGTAGGTGCTTATTAAATGATCGTTGAAAGCACAGGGCAACATTTTGCCCTAGAAAGTGGGAAAACGTTATTTTAGCAAGTGTGCTTTTGGTTCAAGTATCTATGGCATTCTATGATCAATTTTTATAGTTTAAATATTTGAAAAGTTAAGGTTCTCAACAGTCAGAATTGTCTCTTAATATTAAAAATTTTTTTTTTGCTTTTTGTATTCTTTCTTTTTCTTTTTTTCTTTTTTTTTGAGACAGGGTATTACTTTGTTACCCATGCTACATGCAGTGGCACAATCTCTGCTCACTGCAACCTCCGTCTCCTGGATTCAAGCAATTCTCCCTGCCTCAGCCTCCAAGTAGCCGGGACTACAGGCCCCCACCAACACGCCTAGCTAATTTTTGTATTTTTTGTACCAGCCATGTTGCCCAGGCTGGTGTTGAACTCCTGAGCTCAAGCAATTCACCTGCCTTGGCCTCCCTAAGTGCTGAGATTACAGGCATAAGCCACCGAGCCCGGCTGTCTCTTAACTTTATCCTAGCCACAGTATCCATCGACTGTACTATATAAATTGTTTCTCATAGACCTAATTGTGTGGACAGATATATGTTTTTACTTGATATGAATTAATTCCCCCTAGTACATTTTTTATCATCATAGTATAGTCCTAAGATATTGGTTTAGTAAGAATCACTTGCACATCAGGGAACAGAATTTATAAAATGACTTTATTTTTAAAAATTTACTTTTGAAGAGGAAAATAACTTTTTTAGAAATAATGCAAATCCAAGAAACAGTAAGATTATTAGATCCACAGTAACACAACCTAAACGTAAGTAAAATTATTAGATTCATAACCAGAGGAATAAAGGATATAGTATCTATTTATACTCTCCAATGTCCAAAGTTATTAGACTGCCTTGTTTTATGAGGTTGATTTTCCTGGAAATGCATCTAATGAGGATTCCTTCTAAAACGTTTTGGCTATTTCAGATTCATATGCATGGGAACAACTACAAACAAAGCTTGCTTCAGCATTTCCCAGGCATTCTTCCTCTGGAATATGGTGGCGAAGAATTCTCCATGGAGGACATTTGTCAGGAATGGACAAATTTTGTAATGAAGTCTGAAGATTATCTCAGCAGCATTTCTGAGAGCATTCAGTGAGACGTTATTTCATGCGAATGGCTTCCTAATTAAAAATACATGAACGATATCCTACCTGGTTAAATGAATGAAAGAAAAGGAGCAAATCTTTTAAACTAATGCTTGTCTGATCTTTAAAAATGTACAAATCTTCTGACACGAGCAACCCTCTGTTTACCATGGGCATTTGGAAAGATTTTTTACTTTTTAAATGCTTCCTTTTCTCTACTTTGGAAGTAATTCAATGTCAGCACACCTTAAGAGCATAAGAATTGGCGATGTTGTACTTGAAGAAAACATGGAAGTTATTACTGAAGTAGCTGTTCATGTGCATCTTTGTGTGTTTCTAGAGAATTACATTTTAAACAAGTTCTCTGATTATATTGATTTAGAAATAAATTTAGATGCCATGTAAAATATTGGCACAAATCGGCTGATAATAATAAATTAACACTTACTTTAAGTGGATGTCAGATTAAATTATAATTCATTATAATTAAAATCTGAATATAGTTTCATAGTTATTTCTGTGGGCCAGCAAGACATTTCATCTCAGGGAAATTTTATTTTACCTTAGTACATTGACACGATAGAGACTTTTTTTTTTCAGGCAGAGTCTGGCTCTATTGCCCAGACTGGAGTACAGTGGTGCAATCTTGGCTCACTGCAGCCTCTGCTGGGATTACAGGTGCTCGCCACCACACCTGGCTAAGTTTTGTATTTTTTATAGAGTCAGGGTATGGCCATGTTGGCCAAGCTGGTCTCAAACTCCTGTAATTTGCCTGCTTTGGCCTCCCAAAGTACTGGGAATGCAGTTGCAAGCCATTGAGTCGGGCCACAATAGAAACTTTCAATTAAGGAGTCTATATGCCATACTACTGCATATAGCAGCTTTAAGTCTCTACGAAATCATTCATGTTGATGTAATTGATTAACAAAAATAATTTAGAAAATACATCAGGCACACTTGATGGCTTCTCAATGCCTGTTTTGCATTTTTAAACAAATCAAGAATGTAATTTTAACTTTTGCTTATGGTTATTCTTATGACTACATAGAAAGGGATGGAATCATATTTAGTTTTCTTATACATGGACTGTTTTTAGTTAACAATAACGTAACTAGACAAAGGAAAGGAAATGTTTACATTTTTAAAAATTACTGTCAAATTGCATCTGTTATTCTTCAGATTATCCATAAAATAATATGTTTGGTTATTATATCAGAATATTCTAACCAAATCCTGAAAGTCTTATTAACTTAAAAAACATCTGGTAAAGGCTGGGCATGGTGGCTCACACCTGTAATCCCAGCACTTTGGGAGGCTGAGGCAGGATGATAACTTGAGCGCAGGAGTTCTAGACCTGTCTGGGCAACACAGGGAGACCCTGTCTCTATTTCAAAAAATAAAAATAAAAATAACTGGTAAAGATGTACTGTTTGCACTGCAGTTTATAACATTTCATTTATTAAGAAAGATATCATCTCAGCTTTCATATTCAACATAGCTCTCAATTTATGACATAATTTTTATACTTAGTATTTTATCATTTCTTAATTTTATTATAAACTTGAAAATGAAAGAATATGGGGTCTGCAATCTGTTGAACATTTGTTCAGCTAGTTAGGTTTTCTACATTAATCATATAAATTAATAGTACCTTTATGCAAGGATATATGAAGGGTGTTTTTCTTTATAAGAAAATTCGTTTAATCAGGTGAGCTGATACGTATGATTGCACATATTTCTATGATAAAATTGAGAGTAATTGTGGATGTTCTTTAGAGAACATGTTTTGATTTTGACTTAGCATTGGGAAGCTAACAACATAATTTTTATTAAAAAATTAGGCTCTTCTAGTTTTCTAAAATACACTTTGAGCTCTTTTAAAATAAAAGCATACTATTTACAATTGTATAATTTAAAATAATAAAAGAACAAAACCACTTTAAAAGCATAAACAGTATCAATAACAAAAAACTTCTGGCTTACCCAACTTTTCTCTTAGAAGTTTTATATCACCAGTTCCACTTCATTTATTTTTGGCTATTTCAAACATTTTCTTATGACTGTGTAAAGGAGTGATTAGTTTGGTAACTAGATAAAGGATAACATTTTAAAATGTCTTTTAAATGTGGTTTATAGGTGATAGGATCAATGATAAGTAGAATTAAGATAAGTCAGTTAATTTAGGTCTATTTTATAATGGAACTTTGAAATGTTTATAAATTAAGCAATTCACTGAAGAACATTGAAAGAAAATTGAAATGAATGGACAAATTAATAAAGTGTCAAAGCAAATAATTGTCTAATTGTCTATGTTACTTTACTGTGATTATACCAGAAGTGCCTTTTAAAAGGTTAACTGTATTATGTGCTTATTGTGTTACTAAACTGCACAATAATTTATTTGTTTTAATATTGTCTGAAAGAAAATAAACATCTTTCACATAAAACAATATGTAAGGTTTTTTGTAAATTTTAAAATATAAAAATTAAGCATTCTTTTTCAAAAACTGCTTTTCCTCACAGAAAAAAAGATTAGAAACAATCTTAGCACATTTAGTTTTCCATTACACACGAACCAGTTTTTTCTTTGTAAGTTAATGACAGGCTGGTATCCCAGCTGCTTAGTTCAATACCATCTTTCTCTAATTTCTCTGCCATACATAAAGGGGACCACAAGCTAATTATTAAGCCATGGATAGTCAAGAAGTCAAAATTTTTAAGTGAAAAATGCCATAGTGTGCTACTTAATCAGATAATTTTATTTTCTTTGTATAGTTTATTTTAATTTCTTATATTTATATTTAATTTTATTTTCTTATTATATTTTCTTTTCTTTTTTTAGAACAGTTTTAGATTCTCAGCAAAATTTAACACATGCAAGATAGATCTATTTTATTTTGAAACAATATGCTATTAGCCTAGATCATGATTTCTTTTGTCAAACTAGATTTTTCTTACAGAAATAGCCCTGAAGTCCTATTGCAAATATCTTTGCCAATCACCTAAATTAAGACTGTAGATCATAGAACAGGTTAGATATATAACTAAGAGCTCCAGCCAGTTAGTCGGATGGTATTGCCTGAAACACTCCTTACTGGCCTTATATATTGAATTTTGCCATACCTAGATGCTGTGGAGGAACTAGAAATGAAAGTAATAAAATTAATATTGGCAGTGGTACAACCCTATGACTTCTGGTTAGTAAAGACATGTACCATTCTCTTCCCACACCCATACCTAGCACTCAACTGATTGTTCTCTTCTCTCTCTGAGGCAATCATATTAATCTGTTAAATATCTACTTTTTATAACACTGTAGACTGTGTTATAGATTACTATAAGTACTATAGTAAATAGGAAAATTAATCATACCTGGGAGGAAGAAAAATATATTCCAAATAGCTAGTTGAAGTGCAGTATATTGTAAAGGCCATTAAAGTGATTCTAATAAAGTGCTTTGGGAGTTTAACAGAAGGAAAGATAATTTCCACATAAGATACTGACAATGTGTTCTTAAAAGAGGTATTATGTGAAGCAAAGCCCTTAAGATAGCAATGAAAACTAAGGAGAAGAAGGACCTTAAAGACAATAAATATTATTAGCAAAGACTTAGAGATCAGAAAGAGTAAGGCATGTCTAACAAATGGTAAATAGACCTGTATTGTTATGGCATGAATTGTAATGTCTTCTTTTTCATTTCTGATATTTATTTGGGTTTTCTCTTTTGTTCTTAGTCTAGCTAATGTTTTGTCAGTTTTGCTTATCTTTTCAAAAAGCCTACTTCTCATTTCATTGATCTTTTGTATTTTTTTGTTCTCTTATTTATTTTTTGTTCTCATTTATTTCTGCTCTGATTTTTATTATTTCTTTCTAACAATTTTAAGTTTTGTTTATTGTTGCTTTTCTAGTTCTTTGGGGTGCATCCTTGGGTTATTTATTTGATATTCAAAGGGGCAGATAGACCCCAATATAGTAATAGTTGGGGACTTCAACACTCTACTCATAGCATGGGACCGATTATCTAGACAGAAAATCAACAAAGAAACAGGGGATTGATGCTGCACTTTAGAGCAAATGGTCTTAATAGACATATACAGTGCATGTCATTCAACAGCTGCAGATATATATTCTGATCAGCATATAGAACTTTTCCAGGATAGACCATATGTTAGCCACACAACAAGTCTCAACAAATGTTAAAAAATCACACTAAGTCTCTTTTCATCCCACAATGGAACAAAACTAGAAATCAATCACACACACACACACAAAATCCTTTGGAAACTGACAAATACATGGAAATTAAACAACATGTTCCTGAATGACCTATGGGTCAATGAAGAAATTAAGAAGGATATTTAAAATTTTCTTGAAACAAGTGAAAATAGAAACACAACATACCAAAATCTGTGAGATACAGCAAAAGTAGTACCAACAGGGAAATTTACAAGCAGAAATACCTACATCAAAAAAGCTCTCTATTTTTGGAGGAAAGGGCTAAGTGCAGGAGAATGGTTTGTTTGCCTAGAAAGATCTATGTGAATCAAATTATAAGCAGCCTTGAATACCAGCTGAAGGGCACTAAGATGTATAAATTACTTATGTGCCAGGGATTATATTAGATATACACACATGACATCATTTCCTCTTTGAAAACAAAAAAGGTTAAGTGGCATTAGACCCATTTGCACATCTTTGCTCCAAATCACCGAGCTTTGTAAGGCAGAATCAGGCTGAACTCAGCTCGCCTGGCTACAAAGTTCACATATTCCACAATACTGCCGTGATCCTGTTAGACCAGATTCTGCAGACCATGGAGATCAGTGGCCATCAGATTCTATCAGTCTTGTCTGGAAATTTCTGGCCCTGATTCATCTCTGAGGCTTATCGTCTTTCATCTAATCTGCAATAGCTTCCTCTTGGACGACAGGTTTTTCATTGTTCCTCTGTTTACTCATCCTTTCCATGCTGCCTGACTTATTTTTCTGTAAGACTTCATTTCCTGATCTTTAAGGGAGCAGCACTGAAAGCAGGGTAAACTGCTAATTGGCACCCACGGCCCTACACACCCAGGCCCAACCTGTTTTTTGACTCTCACATTCTAGGACTCCTGACTCCACCTGTACTCCAGGCACACCAACCTTTTCACCACAGTGATAATGTCATCCCTTTCATACAAGAGGCATTAGAATTGGCAGAAAGGAATGGAGGAATGATGAGGAAGGGAAGTGAGGTATATTTTGGACTCTGAACTTTTGTTCCTTGTTTCTTCTGCTTGATGTCCTTGTTCTATCTACTTATATAGAGATATAAGTCCTGCCCCCTTGTCCCCTCTGTGAAACATTCTCTAACCATCCCCAGTAAGAATTCTTTGCTTTCATTTGTGTGTTCTCCTGTTTGAACTTACAGGTAGTTACCTGCCTCTTTCCCTTCTAGAAACTATTCTTAAATGAAAACACTGTCTTTTTTATCCTTGTATAACCAATAATCTAACTAGTGTCTAGCACAGGGTCAATACTGACAGTACAGACATGACACAGGCATATTTCTTGTTGCAAGGGTGGGTGACAGCCATCAGTGGGGACAGCTACAGGTCATATGTTGTGCAAGGAGCAAAACAGAATATCATTTACTGGGAAGTTGGGCTGACCTCAGCAACCTCCTCATAAGTCCTTAGACTTGACCTTCTCCCTCGACTTTTCCCCTCTCATTCTAAATGTTAGCTGTCTTACAATAAGTTCTAACCCACTAGTCTATATCCATCTCAAACTTCACTCCAATGTGTTTAAGTGTCTTAACAAATAATAGGTTTTATTTTAATTTATTTTGAATTTTAATTCTTTTAATATCATATATATTCATACATAGTTTATAGGCTGCTCTCTATGGGGTTGTTCAGGAGAAATGTTAACCATTGTTAAATAAAACACAGTTGCCATTTGGCTTTCATGTGTGACTCTCTCTCTGGCCAACAAGAAAACACATGCTACTGCTGTGTTGAGCTCTTTTGGTGGGTTTCCAACAGCAGAGCTTTGCTGTACCCTACATTCCTCTCTCTCTTAGAGCATCATGCACTTGGGAAGATGTGGGGGTCTGAGATGGGAATGGTCAGGCATAGTCCCCACTTGTACCTGCTCAGTCTCATCCACTTATGACTCAGGCCAGCCTCATTTGAGGAACTTCAGTCCATCAGTCACTTCTGAAAGTGTCTGAGCCCCAATGTTACCTGAATTTAGAAGGTAAATGAGCCCTTCTCAGTTCAGCGGTGATTGTCAACACTCAATATTTGCTCCAAACCCTTGCCCACAAGGGACATAACATCATTAAACCCAACATAAAATTAACAGCCCTCAAGTGCCTAAGACATGATATCTCCTTTAAAGGACACATTTTATCTCCTGAAAGAATTAACATTATCATCAATTTCCCTTTCCCAAAAGACAAAAGATAACTCTGACTGTTTCTAGAATACATTGGCTGTTGCCAAAACTGGATGCCTTTTTGCTACTGCTTCTTCCTTAGAATGATGACTAAGTAGACTATTCCAAAGCCCCTTAATTGGGCTTCTGTGTCTGCATTTCAAAGCCTCAAGTCCTCTGTATCACTTTCCTTCACTACTAGATGCCGCAATTACTCATTAACCTTTCCCTTTTTACACAAAAGGGATCGATATACTTCAGGGGTCCTCAACCAAATCATAGCTCTCTTCCTCACCACCAAGACTGCTGCAGTGTGAGAGTTCAGTCAGGGTTGTGGAAAAATATCAAGGGAAAAATATTAGCAAAACTTATAGAATATAGTCATAAACCTTCTTGGAAGGTCAAGAAGTCTGCATAGTTTTAGTAGAAGTTTCAGCTGAGGGCCGCCTTATCCCCTTTACCTTTAGTTGATAAGGAAAGCAAATAGCTAGAGACTTTGGGGGAGTTTATCTGAATAACTTATTTATTCATGTGGTCCTATAAACTAACCTTTAATCATTCCTGATGTCTCTCTCTCGGGGGAAGGTCTACCAAAGATATTACCCACTAGTGGTGTTTGCTGTAGGCCCCAGAATCTATCCTTTAATCCCCACACCCTAGTCGTGTTGACTCAAAGCCTTTTTCATTTAATGTGTGCTGTATAAAGGCTGGCTGGTGAGGCCAACGTGTCAGGGCTGGCAGCTGCTATCTCTTTACAGCACTCTCCTCAAGTGTCTGTGACTGCCCTGGACACCCCAGCATGCTCATATAATGAATATAGTGATATAGTGTCTGAGTGAATTTATTCATCTATCATTGAGTCAGGGTCTGCAGGACAGACTCCCACAGGGAGTGACCCTGACACTGCAAGACTACAAAGAGTACAACCTTAGGTTCATATTTTATAATTAAAAAAATACAAGCCTTCAAATAAAATTCAACCCAGCAAGAAACATTAAAATGGAGGTCTTTCAAGAGCCTCTAGAAG